ATCCCTTCCAGGCTGCCCTTTCGCATTTGCTGCGCGGACGCACCCGAACTGAGGCATTGCTCTAAGTATCTCAGTCACATCCAACATTCCAAAACGACCCGACATTTCTTCTGGCATTCGAAAAAGGCAACCAGCGTGATATTAACTCACTCCGGAAGGTGTGAGTCCTGGCACAAACCAGTCCACTGACAAGGTGATCAACAGATTCTGCCCATGCCCACGTGAATCAGTCACATACATTACCCGGAAGAGCCATTTTAAATGAACTCCTGTACCTCCGCGTACTACCACCCAAATTTAGGTTAGATCGGCATTGCCACACGTACGCCAGTGGAAACGGACCCAATGGTTTACCATGAGATGACTGGCTGATTGAAGACTTAATGCCTTAATAGGTGAATCACGCACCGACAGCGGGCTACCGCCGGTAGTTGGACGTTGCTACGGTAAAGAACTCTGGTCCGCGCGCGATTGGCTAAAAGACGATCCCCTTGCCAGTCAGAATCAAGCCGGGCCCTGATTGGTCGAAAGACTGAACCCGGCAGCCCAATATGATCCAGCCTCTGACGAATGCCAGTTCACGGGCCTATAGATTGATACACAGGATCGAGTCTTTAGCCCAAGTCTCTCAGGTCGGTCTACTTCTTATCGTTCAGCGGCTACCATTCACCTGAAAAGCGCAAGCGGAAAAGGGTGTAAAACTGTCCTTTAAGTTCTCAGCACGGGGCAATAGGCTTGTCAGCACGAGGACTCACGTAAGTAAGTGTCTAATAGTGCTTTGGGCCTGGTTCTAGAAGAGGCGTGGATAACCATCGGATGAAAGTTATTCCGCGCAAATGCTGTCCGAAATGAGAAAAATTTTGCCTAATGATAACGAGCGGTCTGAATTCAAAACCCCATTACCATGACCTGCCGTGTGTTTGCTGGGTCAACTGCGAAAAAACCGTTAGCCAGAATTATATCTCCTCGGAGGCGACGATACTCCAGGGGGACGAAACTCCTGGGGAAATAGGTCAAGCACCACGAGACGCGTGTGGTGTTTTGTGCCTTCAATTTGCTTCCACTATAGCATCACGTACTTTGTCAATTGCATAATCGTTTTTTGTTTGAATACGAAAAACTACCAAGGTCAGGTGCTCCGACCCTCTCCTCCGATTTCGCTCGCCCTTGCAGCGGTCATTCGTGCTAACTCTGGTATCAAAACATTTCAGACCATCTTCGGAATCTATTGTCCGTGGAAACCATTCAGAAGACCCCTGGACAACCATGATGGAATTATTGTTTGTTCGTTGATGTGGGCCAGCGACGAAGTATTTTAAAAATAACAATTATAAGTGAATCTGTTCCACTTGATCTGTTTTTTTTTGTACACCCAATCTAGCGTTATTACTTTTATTTCTTTGCTACACACTCCTGGTAAACTAGCCTATTGGGTAGCCGGACCTCTACACGCGTTTCGTAGTCCACAGACTGAAAGCTGGCAACTATTTACGTAGCAGGTCACTAGATACGCTCTATAAGGGGTACGTCATTCGTGCGTTTTGATTAGACAACTTGGTTGGAATATTCGAGGAGCGGTCCAACTTGAGCCCCATAGAGCATTCGGAATTCCATGCGAGCAATACAGGAGAGGGTGTGCCGAATCATCCGTAAAATGGCAAATGTCTTTCGGGCGGTTTTCTTATAGTGTTGTGAAGACAAGCTTCAAGAGTACAAAACAATCAAATTTATTTTGGCATCTATCCTCGTGATGTCTTCTNCCACAATGCATCCAACTCCTCCATTTAGGTCATTTTATGAATCGCTTCCAGGCTGCCCTTTCGCATTTGCTGCGCGGACGCACCCGAACTGAGGCATTGCTCTAAGTATCTCAGTCACACATCCAACATTCCAAAACGACCCGACATTTCTTCTGGCATTCGAAAAAGGCAACCAGCGTGATACTAACTCACTCCGGAAGGTGTGAGTCCTGGCACAAACCAGTCCACTGACAAGGTGATCAACAGATTCTGCCCATGCCCACGTGAATCAGTCACATACATTACCCGGAAGAGCCATTTTAAATGAACTCCTGTACCTCCGCGTACAACCACCCAAATTTAGGTTAGATCGGCATTGCCACATGAACGCCAGTGGAAACGGACCCAACGGTTTACTATAAGATGACTGGCTAATTGAAGACTTAAAGCCTTAATAGGTGAATCACGGACCGACAGCGGGCTACCGCCGGTACTTGGGCGTTGCTAGGGTAGAGAACTCTGGTCCGCGCGCGATTGGCTAAAAGACGATCCCCTTGCCAGTCAGAATCAAGCCGGGCCCTGATTGGTCGAAAGACTGAACCCGGCAGCCCAATGTGATCCAGCCTCTGACGAATGCCAGTTCACGGGCCTATGGATTGATACACAGGATCGAGTCTTTAGCCCAAGTCTCTCAGGTCGGTCTACTTCTTATCGTTCAGCGGCTACCATTCACCTGAAAAGCGCAAGCGGAAAAGGGTGTAAAACTGTCCTTTAAGTTCTCAGCACGGGGCAATATGCTTGTCAGCAAGAGGACCCACGTAAATAAGTGTCTAATAGTGCTTTGATCCTGGTTCTAGAAGAGGCGTGGATAACCATCGGATGAAAGGTATTCTACGCAAATGCTGCCCGAAATGAGAAAAATTTTGCCTAATGATCACCAGCGGTCTGAATTCAAAACCCCATTACCATGACCTGCCGTGTGTTTGCTGGGTCAACTGCGAAAAAACCGTTAGCCAGAATTATATCTCCTCGGAGGCGACGATACTCCAGGGGAACTAGGTCAAGCACCCCGAGGCGCGTGTGGTGTTTTGTGCCTTTATTTTGCTTCCACCATAGCATTACGTATTTTGTCAATTGCATAATCGTTTTTTGTTTGAATACGAAAAACTGCCCAAACGCGCACTTGTACAATTTCACGCAGTACACACGTGGGCAGGTGCTCCGACCCTCTCCTCTGATTCCTCTCGCCCCCGCAGTGGTCATTCGTGCTAAATCTGGTATCAAGACATTTCAGACCATCTTCGGAATCTATTGTCCGTGGAAACCATTCAGAAGACCCCTGGACAACCATGATGGAATTATTGTTTGTTCGTTGATGTGGGCCAGCGACGAAGTATTTTAAAAATAACAATTATAAGTGAATCTGTTCCACTTGATCTATTTTTTATTGTACACCCAATCTAGCGTTATTACTTTTATTTCTTTGCTACACACTCCTGGTAAAGTAGCCTATTGGGTAGCCGGACCTCTACACGCGTTTCGTAGTCCACAGACTGAAAGCTGGCAACTATTTACGTAGCAGGTCACTAGATACGCTCTATAAGGGGTACGTCATTCGTGCGTTTTGATTAGACAACTTGGTTGGAATATTCGAGGAGCGGTCCAACTTGAGCCCCATAGAGCATTCGGAATTCCATGCGAGCAATACAGGAGAGGGTGTGCCGAATCATCCGTAAAATGGCAAATGTCTTTCGGGCGGTTTTCTTATAGTGTTGTGAAGACAAGCTTCAAGAGTACAAAACAATCAAATTTATTTTGGCATCTATCCTCGTGATGTCTTCTGGTCCTGTCTCACCATGCATGACAAAGGCATTCACTGCGTCTCCTCCAAATGACATATGGACGCACTTTTCGTCATTCAGAGAAAGGCGCCAGTCCAACGACAACAGCTTTGCAGCGCCTACATCCATTTAGACGGCAATGGCATTTAACTCCTAGATTGCCTGTCATCTGTAAGGTCGTTGGGGCGTATCAGAAACAGTAGTGGTCTCGAAGCGGAGCATCGAGGAAAGCCAATGGAGACCGGCGCTTTGTTAAGAGTATGTCGTTCCTATTCTCGCTCAGAAGGATCTGCCTGATGGGAACGCTTTGATTCTTGAATCTCGTAAGACTCGAGTTTCTGGAGCAGCGGGACAGATGGGAACAGATCAAATGCTTTTGAGAAGTCTAAAAATATGACATCCTACACGATACCCTCATCCCTGGTTTAGTTTAAGCTGTTTGTAAACACAATTGTTTTCGTCACGCAAAAATGGTCTTGAAGAAGTGAAGACGTCCTATTCACTCTTTTTCCCAAGGTCCCACCTTAAGCTGCATCTAATTCGGACGCCCTGTTCGGTTGACATCGACTCCCTCTGATCTCCATCAGGACCAAAAATATCCGCGATCTTACATTGACTCTGCCCTACATCTGCGGATTCCTCGAGCTAAACACGAAAAACTTCAATGCTCACAAAACTTCACATCCAAACCAATCACCTCGAAAAATGCTTTCCCCCGTGGACTTTCACAAACCAAAATGTATGTCAGTGCAATGACAGCCCGGCACTGCAATAGGCAGTGTGATAGCATAGCCACAATTATTCACTTCCTACTGTTGACGATGCCCTCTCACCCACTCGTGGCTTAACTGAAATAATAATAATGATTATTCTCAACTAGTGAGTGGCATAGGGTCAGGCATGATCGTAAAGCTGCAGTGCGAATAAAAGCATGACTGACGGGGATTCCGGGTACAAGGGAGTTTAGCAAATTTATTGGCGCCACCGGCGGTGGCGTTTTCCGATGTGGGCGTGGTCACCACCAAACTAGCA